CGGTGGCGCAGTTGGTAGGGCTGTCGCCTCAAAGCAAGAATGTCGCTGGTTCAAGCATCGGCTGGGTCAGTTGGCATTTCTGTGTGGAATTTGCATGTTTCTCCCCACGTTTGCATGGGTTTCCTCCGGGTGCTTCCCCTTCAAGTCTAAAAACAGGCGATACTGGTAAATTGGGTAAGCTAAAATTGTTTATAGTGTATGTGTGTGAATGAGTGTTCCCCTGTGATGTGATGGGTTGCGGCTGGCATCCACTGTGTAAAAACGTGCTGGATAAGTTGGCGGTTCATTCCGCTGTGGTGACCCCAGATTAATAAAGAGATTAAGCAGAAAAGAAAATTAATGAATGAATGATTTCAGCAGAAGTGACAAACTTTGACAAGCTTTACAAGTTTTTATCAGATTTATGTTTTCTGAATGCATATTGTGCGCACTAGCTAATAGATATCCTTAAATAATTGTATGTTAATTTCAGTCTGTTAGTTTTATTTTCATGTCATGGGACTTTTAAAGTAATATGAAAAATCATGTGTTATTGAGAGCTTGTCCCTAAAATTGTTGTTCACTCAAACAGCGTTGACTGTGTCTTCTTTATTTAAATGTCCAATTTGATGTGGTCAGGCTCAATGTCCAAACTGTTATGTAGAAAAAAAGAAATAGAAATTATTATTACTATTATTATTATTTAGAAAATAAGCGTAACAGTTTTTTTTTTACTTTTTGTGTTAACTTTGTGTGAAAAAAAGCGTAAAGGCTGACTTTAGGTTAAAATGAACTATTTTATCTTAAGAATTTTTTAGTCAATAAATGATTTATTGTTATTGATTTGATATTATATTGCTTATATATATATATATATATATATATATATATATATATATATATATATATGAGCAATTCCAGCGTTATGGATGTGATATTTGCAGTAAAATCTCAAAACATAATTTCACAGAGAAGGTATATGCTAACATTATAAGGAAACATATGTTTATATTTTCCAAAACAACTAATAACAAAGTTATTGGAGCAGAAAAATATCAATCTGTAAACATTTTTTATATTTTAAATAATGAAAATAAACATGCGTTATGGATGTGACAAAAAAAAACTACTTTGTAGAAATTCTGTGTATTAAACTGCACAACTCAAAAGAAGTAATGCTATTTACAGTAAAAGGGAATACGTTAGCTCTTTATAGAACAAAAACGATTGATTTTATTTAATTTTACATTTTTGCATTTATAAGGACCTGCTTACACAACAAAACCCAGAAAAGGTTTCGCTATGTTGGCTAATATGTAATTTTTTCATGGCAAGGTTGACATTTGCATGAAACTGCTCACATATATACATAATGGGGTGTAAAATAATACAGGGTGTACATGTTTGGCCCTCCTCATTGTATTTGGTTCAGAATTACTTAAATTTATACCTGTCATTAACTATTTTATTTTTATTTTACATCTCACTTTCATGATTATCTAAAATTGATTTTCAAAAAATTGGATCTGAATTATTTTAAAGTTTTATGATGTCCAAAAGGCACAGAATACCAGGAATCACCCTTTTACCGTATTTGTGCTTGTTATTCTTCTGTTTACAACAGCAGCTAATAAAGTTTTACACATTTACATAAAACAACTTACTTCCACGCTAAAAAGAAACAAAGGTGGACAGAATGTGTTTCGATCCAGCGCAATCCCTTATAGTTCATAAAAGTCTCCCCTGCCAGAGAGAAATACAGCTCTGCAAATCTCTCCATTGTGATCAGGAATGCTAAACACCGACTATGAGTTACGCAGTGACACATGCTTGTGTAATAATCGCACAGTGTTACAGACATGTTTCTCCCATATATGACTTACTTGTGAGTGCTACAAAAGTAAAATTCCTACAGTGAGTGAAGGACCCGCTTTATGTTGTACCGAATCAGCAGCATTAACTCCGATAAGGTACTTTAATACTGAACACGCTCAGAAAGTAGAGGCCAAAAACTGTGACACATTCAAACTGTCAACGTGAATACATGCGACGTCAAGCAAATGAAGAGATTTAAGAAGCAAGCTGAGAAATAAACAGAAAACATTACGTCGGATATACTTAAAGTCGACATGAAATCAAAATTTCGAATGTTTATTTTGTCATCGCATGTTGTTAGTCTTAAGGTGATCAATTCATCTATGTAAGTTTATCTGATGAAAAAAAATGTGTGTTTTGATCATCTTTGATTAAAATTGCCGCATTTGTTCCGCTCTGAAATGCCAGCTCCATCTCTGATGATGTCACTGAGGGTTTGGGTGTCATATGCTAAGCCACACCTTTTAGTTTTCTGAAAAAGATGAGAGAAGGAGCGCTAAAATAAAGCCTCGCCCCTAATCAAAATTCCATTTCAGATGGAAATACATCATTATGTTGAAAAGTCTCAGCAACTTCAGATTCATGTGGACTTTAAGTTTGAACAATTTCTAAATGATCAAAAATACTGTACATGCTTAATAACTAAAGTGATGAAGAAATATCAACGTGTGAATTAAGAAACATCAACTTTTTCTGTCTAGTTTTTAGTGCATTTTAACCAGATGGTTATTACATAACTTTATATATGAAGTTTATGAATCAAATATTGAACATTTAGCAAAATTTTGAAATTCATTGCACTTTGTCCATCTACAAATCAGGCATTGTAATCAATACCCTTATTTGGTTCATCTACAAACTTGCATTAAAAGTCCTTCCTTTGCACGGACACATAATAAATCATGAATTAAACGTTATGTTTGCACTCAAACACAACAACCATATCAGTGCAATACAGTTTCACTATAATTCTAACAAAGACGGATTCAGAAACACCTTGCTACTCAGTAGTTTTTAAAGGGATAGCTCACCCCAAAATAAATATTTAGTCACCATTTACTCACCCTACAATTCTGCCTAACCAGAATAAAAGAAAACATTTAGAAAAATGTTGGAAACAGGTAACCATTGACTTACATACTATTTGTTTTTCCTACTATGGATGACAGTGGTTACTAGGGTTGTGTACCACTTTAATTTTAGTGATTCTGATTTCGCTTATTGAATCGGTTCATGACGATTCTCAATTACTATTACTTATAGTAAATGTTCTATCCTCTATTCTTGTGACATTTAGTCTAATCAATAGGCTGTAGCTTTATGCGACAGGAATTCGAAGATGGCTGTTTTAGGGCTGCACGATATTGGAAAATCTGATATTGCGATATTTTTCTGTGATTAATATTGGTATATAAAGAAATGATTTTCACAAGCTGGTTTGAATAGCACTCTTAGACAGTTTTCTGGAGAGTCTAACAGTATTCAAGTGCAAAAATCGAATAATCACAATGCAAAAATGCTTTTCTTACCATTTATCTCATTTCCAGTTCAAATATCTCAAAGAGCAAGTAAAATATTTTTTAGTTTTTACATTCAGAAGAAATAAGTCAAAATTAAGAGGTTTTCCTTAAAACAAGCTAAATTACCTGTCAGTGGGATAAGTGAAATAATCTTGTTTCTGCTTTTAAATGTAGACATTTGAACTAGAAACAAAACAAAAATTCTAAATAAGAATTTTTTTTTGCACAAATCATATAAATTATGTATAAATACAGTGATTAAATACAATTCTGTGGCTCCTGGTTCTACTATAATTCAGACTCAACATTGCATGTCTTTGCTATGTGACTATTGCGGATGCGCACATTGGGATATCGATGTAGATATATTGTGCACCCCTAATCTGTTTTTAGCTTTATATACCCGAGTGTGTCTCTAATATTAGCTGTATCTGGGGTATTGTCGCAGGATTGTGTTTCATCATATTAGAGGTACTTCCTCTATTGCACAAAGTATCTTTGTCACATGTATTGCATTTGTCATGGCTTGTTGCTGTTAGTACCTATCACACACCCGGCACAATAAGGCGCAAGGCATGTATGCCATAATTTGCTTTTTGCTTTGGTGCAACTTTTAATTTTAAATTTTTTCAGTTCATTCATGACAATTTGCATTTTTATAATGTTATTATTATTAGCAGTATTATTTTGTTTATGCATATGTATATTTGTAATCTAAAATTAATTTGTAATATAAAAAGTTTAGATTTGTCCACCAGTCAGGTTTTGGAGTCGTATGCATCACCATATATGGCAAAAGAATAGGACGTGTGTTGGATATAACAGTTTTTTGACGACACTTCGTTATTATTGTTCATTTATTTGTTTGCTAGAAAATAGAACTGAATTTAGAAATAGTTTTGAAACAAATCTTTGCGCTTAACAAATAAAATTAAATATGTAGGCTAATGGATGTCTTTAGTGGAGTGCGTACAACACTGTTTCCTTATTCACAAAAGTAAAGAGTAAAGGTAAAAATAAAGTAAAGAGAAAGTAAAGAGGCTGAATGGAGGAGGCTCGATCTTTATCCTTACACTGCAGATGGTCTGTTTAACTATAGTGAAGCGTTAAGTTTTTCCAATTACAAAATCCGCCATGTAAATAGCAAATGCGCCATGGTGCAACACACATTACTCTTAAAGGGAATAGGAGATGAGACTCGGATTGGTTTAAAGTGCGTTATGCTCAAAACACACCCATAACTTATTGAGAGAACAAGCACAACCCTGTTAGACCATGCGCCAGGCCGCAGACCATATTTTTCCATCTTTAAAATAGTGAAAGTTTATTCAGATACGCCCTTAATGCCTTTGCACCTTGCGCTTAGATCATTAAAATAGAGCCCTTAGTGCATAAGCAGGCCCTGGTAGATAGATAAAACTATCGTTCACTATGCAAGAATGACCGAAAAAGTAAAAAATTGCTAAACAGAATCAAAATGTAGGCATCATATTGAATCCCTGGTTTTTAAAAATTTGAAATGATTCTAAAATGAAACGGGTTCTCGATCCTCAATCCTAATTCCAACATTCTTCAAAATATCTTCTTTTGTGTTTAACAGAAATAAGAAACTCATAAAAGATAGGAGTAAATAGTGAGTTGTTTTTTTTTTCAGGTTGGGGGGGGGGGGGGGTGATCTGTCCTTTTACAGGAATTTACTCAAACAAAGATGAATGCACTCCCCCTAAAAATGAAGCATGTTGAACCATAGTGATTATGGTTGGGGGTGACCACAGAAACCAAAAGGACACGCATGCGCTTGTTTCTCCCAAAATCATACCAGCCTACGCTCAAATATGTACAAAACAACCCCAAAGTCTCAGAGCAGCAGCGTTACCCAAAATGGATTCCCTCCCCTTGAGTGTCAAAGATCAGAAGCGAAAGGTTGCGCATCGCTTTGGTTACCTCATTACAGAGCAAGGCTGCTTTTGAATATTTGAACATTTTGGCTGCATTCCTCTTTTTTTTTGTCATTGCCTTCTCTTGTTGCATCTCCTCATGTTGCAGGTGAGACGGCTAAAGCACTCTGGGAGCATATACGCACAGTCACATGGCTTCAGTGTCTGAAGAGAGGGCGTTCTTGGATCTGGATCGGGTGAAAGGTCTTAGAGGTCTAGGAGGAGGCTGAGAGAGACAGAAAGAACAGATATGTGAGTGTATGTCTAATTAATAAATGAACAAGCAGTGCACACTTCATGTTTATTTTTTACAAATAAACATGATCAGAGATTCAGGTCAGCATGAGCAGGGACACACTTTCTATGACGTGTCAATTTATGGTTGGACAAACAAAGGCCCAGCATGATTGGAAAATGCATGACTGAATGTGCTTTGTGTGCAAATGCCTGCATTTAGCCTGTTAGGTTGGTTATATCTGTAGTGTGGTCAAAGGCTAAACTGGTAGACCAGCTTTAAAAAGAACAAAATGATTGAAACTAAAACAATGACGAGGCATTATATCCACAGTAAACAGATACATTTCAGATGCTCTCCTTGTTTATGCACTACTTCTGAGAACAGGACAAATGGAAAAAGAAAGAAGTTAAGTTACAATTTGGGAGATAATTCCAGATAGAAAGGAGATTTCAACTGGGATATTGTCCCAATACAATAGTATAGTATTTGTCCCAATACTATAAATAAAGTTAAAATTATTTTGAGGGTTGCAATTACAAGAAATTGGGTTGAAATGTTAAGACATTGTCAACACCTACCAGAATTAGTTTAAATTTAAAGTTTAAATTGCAAAAAATAAAGTTGTGTGATCTGATAAATGCAAGACAAAAAGTCGGCATTACAACAAATACGGCTGTATTTAGGAAACAGTCATAATTGTGGCATATTAAAGGAGTAATTCACCCCAAAATGAAAATCACCCCATAATTTATTCACCCTCAAGTCATCTTCACTGTATTCTACTTTTTTTTTACATTGGATGTACAAAGTTGGAGTAGTTTTCATGCTGTTTAATGGTGTTAGATAGTGGACACTGTAACCTTAATTTTAATTTAGAGTGGATATAGGAATGCATTGTGAGCAGAAAACGTGTGGGAAGAATCAGCAAAGAACCTTAAAGGTGCAGTAGGTGATCAGACAATGTTTTATTGTGCTGGTTGAAAGACTCTTCACATGCCAATAGTAATGATTAAAGTAAATGGTCTAAATGTATTTGTTATATGTATTTTAATATTGTGGGTACGACATAAGATTAAGGGTGCTTTCACATTTGATTCAATTGCTTGAACCAAACCCAAGTTCGATTACCCCCCCCCCTTGCCACAATTTCGGCTGGTTTGTGCTCACACCATCTTTTTACCATCTGAACCCTGGTACGCTTGCGTCATCCAACTGCTGTTTTGTGTACAGCTGTTGCTAGGTGACGGCCATGAAAACAAAGCACCAAAATCACATATCGCTTATCACGGTTACTGAATTTTGGTTGCATTTAATCTTTGTTACCAAAACCAAAATACAGAGAGTTGCTCGCGTCTATCTACGTCTTTTTTGGTGGAGACAAGCAGACATTATCATTGTTTGCAGTGGGTTAGTCTCACTTGTCACCAAGATAGGTGATGCATAGACATACACACAAATAGAAAGTTATATAAACTAAAGTTTGTTGTACAGTTAGAGGTTCACTTCCGTTTATTGATACGATTGCATGCTGTGTTTCAAAGCTATTACGCTAAATGGTCAGCATTTTGGCAGATCACCTAATGCACCTTTAAATCTGGAATCGAACTCGGGTCTCCGTGAGCACCTAAGTGCTGTATGTAGACACCATAAACACTTAGCTACTGGCGTCAACAATAGTGAAAATTTTTTTAAGCTTCCAAAAGATAAATAAATAAATTAGTTAATGCCTGTTTTATAAAGTGGATCGATGCGATTTAACAAAATGTAACAAAAATATGATTTTTTTTTTAAATTATGAACTCAAATCACTTCCAGCAGTTGACGAATACACGTTTGCGACAACATCTTGGCTGTTTTTTGACTAATTATAATGTACAGTGTGAGATGTGGCATTGTAAGAGTAACATACTGTATAACATTATAGATTACTGTCAAGCCAACTAGTTTTCTTGTTTGTCGTCATTGTATTCTTTTGTCTGTCAAACTTATCCTTATATTTATGTGATAAACAAATAAGGAACTGTAAGGGTTTCATTCTTTCATCATAGAGTCTTGAGTTATCTTTCCCTGCCATCTTAGACAGTCACGTCTCTCCAGTGACTCGCTGTAACCGAATACTAGTGGTGACCTGAGGTGAGAGTGTCAGACACTCACTCATTCAGTTGATACTTGCTGGTAAACAGCAGCACTAGTTAGTGATTGAGTAGGTTAGTAAGTCACAGCACAGCTAACAGAGCCCCAGTGTAGCCAGGCAAGTCAACCACGAGCCATGACAAATCCAAGGTACCTCAGGGGCGCGTCTCTTAAATCTGAACTGCGGTGAAGATGAGATAAAATCCTCCTTTTCCTGAGGCTCCTCTGAGGCTACGGTTGGGGGTGAGGATTGATCCTGGGACTCCGGAGGGGAGGGTAGTGGAGTCACAGGCTCAGTTTGAGGCAGATTGGGCTGTGATAGGGTCAGGATGGGTGTGGGGGTCGGCGGGATGGGAGGCTCCTTAGATTGCTCCAAGTTCAACAGCTCATATTCAGTCATGTCAAAGTCATGGCCTGTACCATGACAAGAGCACATTAAAATCACAACTCTGAGTATATTTTCATACAGAGTGTTTTAGATCTGTGTCATTATGGAAGACTTGAAGTTAAAAGACACTGTTGAGTTACTATAGTTAGTTCTGATACGGCATGAAGGACAATGCTGCTAAAACTGGGGAAGGAGGCAGTGTACACTTATCAGCCACTTTATTAGGAACAACGTCTCAATAAATATGATCAGCTAGTCATATGCACTTGTTATATCATGAAGTATGGAATACTGTTTGCTGGGTCCAAGCTGCAGATCATTTGAATTAATAAAATAATTATTCGTTTATGACCAAATTTTAATCATATCAAACATTAAAGTAAAACTCTTACAATATTCTGGTGAACACGACAGTCTATGGACATGCTTCCTCACAGACACTATATATTTTAACAATTGATAAAAAAAGTATTGCTTTCTGGCCATGATCATGATTTCAAAATTGATTACATTGCTCTGTGAGCATTTATTAGTACCATTTATTAATTCTGCTTATAGTCTGATAGAGCGCAAAATTAGACCTGAAATCTGTATCACATCACATGATGTCAGATTTAACAACCGAACAGAAGTAGTTCAGTGTATTTAGGGCTGTAGACGTGGTCAAGATTATCTACTGAAGGTCAAACCGGTCATCAGTTTGGCAAATAAAGGAAATTTAAGTGACTTTTAATGTGGCAAGTTTGTCAGTTACATGTGCTGGTCTGAGTATTTCAGAAACTGATCTACTGGGATTTTCATGCATAACAATCTCTAGGGTTTACAGAGAATGGCCTGAAAATGAGAAAGTATCAAGTGAGCTGCAGTTCTATAGGAGAAAATGCCTTGACACCAGAGGTCAGGATTATGAGCAAATATAATGATTTGTTACAACCAACATCTGCAGAAGAGCATCTCTGAATATAAACCAAGTCTTGAAGCAGATGAGCTACAGCAGCAGAAAACCCCTATTGTCAGATAAGAACAAGAAAACACATTGAACACATTGAAAACAATGTAAAGTCCAGTGTGCGGCCTGCTTATGGTTACAGTTTGCACGGGCTCATTAACAGTGAACAACGGAAGACTGGGTAAAAAATGTCGCTTTCTCTGATGAGTCTTGATTTCCGCACCATTCTGATGGTAGGATCAGATTTTTGTGTTACAACATGGATTCGTTCTGCCTTCAGCTGTTTAGAGTGGTGCCGTTGATGTATTGCGGTGCATCATTTGGGCCCCTTAGTACCAGCTGAGCATCATTTGAATTCCCCACCAGAGCATTGCTGCTGATTATGTCCAGCTCTTTATGACCACAGTGGACCCATGCTGTTTTGGCTACTTCCAGCAGGACAGTGCCCCATGATGTCACAAAGCTCAAATAATATGAAATGCGTGAAACTTCTTGAGCATCAAAATGAGTTCACTAAACAAAAATGGCCTCCACAGACACCAGATCTCAATCCACCTTTGTGATTGTGAAACTGGAGATTTAAATTAAAGACAAGTCTGTAGCAACTATGTGATAATATTCAATAATGTTAATAACGCAAGGAGTACCCAATAAAGTGGTCGGTGAGTGTACTTTCTATTGATTCTGGAACATTTTGATGTTTTTAAACAATGGTGAAGTGGGTTTCCCACATCTAAAACTGTAACAGGAAACCCTGCATTTGTTTGTAGCCAATCACTTCTTGTACTCAAAAGACTTTGAATCATATGGAAGGCAGACACTGATGGACAGTTTACATCAAGAATTATAACGCAAAGTTAGTACTATAATGATACATTTATTAGCAATACAAAAGTAACCATTATACTGTTTCTATTTTAAATGTGCAGTGCATCACTGTTATGTAATTTGTAGATTTAAAGGGTTAGTTCACCCAAAAATAAAATTTGTTATTAATTACTCACGTTCATATCGTTTCAAGCCCTGAGACCTTCGACCTGCATGCATATTGCCCAGAGTAAAAACACACCCAAATACATTGGTGAACAAAGTTGATTTGAAAGTTTTACAGTCACATAAAAAAATTCCTGGAGCTTTGTGTGATTACAGTTGAACCACTGAAGTCACATGGAAAGTTCTGACAATGTTTTAATTCCAATGTATCAATGACAAACAACTCGGGACAGTTGCTGTCTATGGAGGATGAGGGAGCTCTCAGATTTAATCTATGATGTCTTAATTTGTGATAAACTTAACGAAGGTCTCAGGGAATTAAAAAGACATGTGAAACGACAAGTGGATTCTGATTAGCATTCTTCACTCAAGAAGAAAAAAATCTAAAAAGCGATTTCCTTAATATTATTATATGTTGTTATTATTAGGGGCCGCTCACATAGAAAACCGTTTGTGAAAAAAAATTGAAATGAAAACATTTTTTAACTAGACACAAAAGCATTTAGTGGTTAGTGCATATTTATTTGGAAAAAATGGAAAAGAAGAGCAGAAGAACCACATTTTAGTCACTTATAGCTGTATTGTGGACTTGGATTTTAAAACCTTATAGTTACTGTTATGATTGTCATCCATGGTTTGAACAGTGCTTACAGGCATGTATCAATTAATGGATTGCAAACAGATACAGTATGGTTAAACGGATAATGTATTAATGTATAATTACAAATGAACATGGCTTTCTTACTTTGGTGTAACAGAAGACAACAGCAAAATGTAACTCACGCTAAAAAAAAACTGGCCCTTATTTGCCATATGAAATGTTTGCAAACATAAATGAGATTTGAGAGCTAAAGTGGAAGTGAAAACTTCAGCCTGTTCCTCATACAAAGCCATTGTATAATGACATAACACCTGGAATGAACTGCAGAAGACAATGCTTTCTGGAGCATTTCATTCAACTTTACTGTATGAAAAAGAGCAGCAGTAACATTCTGCTTAAAATCTCTTATCTTCTACACAATAAATAACAGTAATAAAACACAATGAGATTTTTTTCCCTATTAAATAAAACCTATAACTTAAATTAAAGAGATATAATATGAATTTTTTCAGGGAATTAGATAATATTACAAATATGTAAACAACCAAAAATTTCCTAATCAAACATTTACCAAGAACTCTGGCAGGATTACAACGCTCAATTTAAAGATTAATTACATCTCCGGGATGATCAAGAAAAGTAGGTAAACCAAACAGGATTAGAAGCAATTTGATTGGCTGATAGCAGGATTTTCTTTTAAAGGGTTAAAGGTGAAAACAGCACTCATTTGTCTCAGCATTGCTTACCCTTGCTGTAGCCAGTCTCTGATTTGCTGCGCATCATGGTTCGCGTTCTGTGCTGCGCGGCTGCAGGTTGAGTGGTTACAGAGCTAGCGCTGTTTGTCTGGCCCTCAGCCTGGAAAGATGACAGATCCTGCATGCTGAAACTGCGGAGCCGCTCGGACAGAACGCCCTGGCCCTGCATAAAGAACATCAAACTCTTTTAGAAGCTCTAAATACTGTCACATCAACTATCTATTTTGTTTATACCAAATGAGCATGAAGATCTGGAAGAATGTGTTGTATATCCAGTCCGGTCAAATATAAAGATTTCTCTAAAATAAACTAATAATCAGTATTTCACTTCTATTTGAGGTTTTAATAAACTATTATATAACATGACACACTGCTTTTCCATGCACAGTTAGTTACTGAATAATTCAATAGTGTGTATTCATTATGACTGATGGCATTTGAACTGAAATTTCACTCTGGACTGTAAATTATAGTTGATTTACATACAAAAAGTGAGTAAACCCATTGCTTTTAAAGAAATTAGTTGACTTTACTTAAAGTGAGTAACCTATTTGCCTTAAATTTATTAAATAAATTAATGTACATTTCTTCTTAGTCAACATAACAGTTCCAATTAACAATAGGTTTACTAACTTTTTAAAAAAGAAAGTAACTAATCACTTTTTACAGTGTAGACAAGGTTTTAATAAAAAAGCATTTAATTTTAAACATTTATAGAATAATTAAGTATTTAATGTCAAGTGCTGATTAAAGAATTTTTTAACACCTAAAAAACAATCTCATCCAAAAGACTTCATTGTCCTAACTAGATTTTGCTAAAACAAGGCTTCAATTATCCAAATGTCATATATATGTAAGTTAATCCATATTCTCAAAAGGCTGAAAGGCTCATCAGTGGAGATTTTAGCTCTTTATTCTTTTAAAACCAGCAGCTGGTTGTACAATATCCAACTTATACAATTAGACACAAAACATTAATCCGAACTGTAATAATGTACCAGGTCTTTAATTAAACACTTACACTGTACTATAAAGGTTCATGGAATTTCTGCAATATCAAGGAATTTGAAAAGGTCTATTTTAGACATCGAAAGCCAATTTATTTTTTATTTATTAATACTAATTTAAAATATTAGGGATTTTGTTTGCTACTTTAAATGTTACATTTTATTAAAAGTAATTTTCTTTCACATTGTTTCACACATTTTGCTTATTATTAGATTTAGGCTATTTTTCAGCACTAATTTATTCCTTATAGGTTGTTAACAGGGAATAACACACCTTGGAACGTCGTGATTCGCATCAGAATAAAGTATTCCATAGAGCTGTAATAATATACTAGCTTCTATTCTTTGACATACAGCAGGGTAAATAAGTATAGAACATGTCATGTTTTTTTCTAGAAATTGAACCAGATGTTGGTAGAAAACCCAAACAATACAAACATAAAAATAAAACAAAACAAAAAATTTAAAAAAATTAGTTGTGTAATAACAATTAATTGACAAGGAGAAAGCACTGAACTACTGAAACATATTAAATACTTGATAATAAAAAGCTTTTTTGAAGATGCCTTTTATATGGAAAATGAATTGACATAAACTGCTCAGGTGTGGGTTTTTCAGCAGGGTGTAAAAATCTTGATGGTTTTGTGGGTCTCGTCTATTTAGTCTGATCTTTAATTTGTATTTTCTATTGGATTCAATTCAGGTGATTGGCTGGGCCATTCTACAGCTTGATTTTCTCTTTCTCTGAAAGCATCAGAGAGTTTCCTTGGCTGTGTTTTGATCATTTTTTTGCTGAAATGTCCACCCTGCTTTTATCTTCTGGTAATGTAGATGTTGAACTGAAGCAGCGAATATTCATTTACACTGGGGAAGGGCCAAAGGTTGTTTTCTTACTACTGAGAGCTTTCAGCTGTTGTCTGGGCTTTTACTGCCTTTCTACACCTCCCTTTCTTCATGTGTTCAATACTTTTTCCCTGCGTCATTTCATTTTATGTTGCATGACTTCATTTATAAACTAATTAATATTGTTTTCTTTGCATATATGGATTTCCTAGGTAGCTATCAACATCTGGTGAAAATTTCAAGTCAACAGCACCTTTAAAAATATATCTTCTGGGAAAATTTTTGACGTGTCCAATACCTATTTTCCCCACCATATATGACAATATTCACAACGTACGGACAACTACTTCTTATTACATTCCTATGGGGTGTTACCTATTGTGTTTTAAAACTGTTCATTTGTTGTTTGCTTAATTTGTTACTCAAGTACATATTTATGTTTATTTTTTGCTACTGCTAGTCACTGATGAACACCAGACATATCTTTAGATTTTGATCATTTTGCAAACAGAATTTTGAAACTGACAAACAATTTCAAGAGATTTACGTACAGTTGTCAAAGACAGTGCCATTTCCTTAAACAACAAGGGAACGGTACTGGATTATTACCTTAGTGGCAGCCATTACTGCAGCTGTTGCTGCTACATTCAGGCCTTTCCTTCCAAAATGCATGAGGGTGTCATAGCTTTTATCTTTTGCTTGGCAAAGATATTCATCGATGTCCTGAGAAAGAGTCATAAAGAATATTTCAGATATGGTACTGAAAGCCTGCTATTGTGTCCTTTAAGATCAGCATTTCTTGCTTTCTACACTCAAAAAATGACTTTTGCTGCTTGTTCCAAACTACTTACTGTATTCAAAATGAGTTGAAAAAACATAACTCTTAATTTTTTTTAGGGACAACTTGATTGTTTTTTGTTCAATCCACTTATCCACTTTGTAAAAACGATTTGTATTGGGAAAGATGAAGGCATTGTGTGTAACCCAGCATTTTTTACAGTGTATGAGCTAAAGGACACTTAAATAGAGAGTGTTTTGGTGTTTGTCAAATGCATTTGCCCTTAGTGTGTCCTCCTGACGAGTTTCCTGCCTTAAGAAGAAAAAGCCTGTGGAAAATCCCAGTTCTGTTTCCTGAGCATCGCTCAAACTTGCTCAACCAGGGAAATCAACGCAAAAGGTTACAGGAAAACAAGACAAATGTGCACTTCCTCCTTGACTTCGAAATTCAGTTTCTAAGCATTACAATCTGTTGAGATTCTCCACAGCTTTTGTTGCTGATCCTTGCTTGCTTATATAATTTTAAATGAAATATTCAAGGGATTGTTCACCCAAAAACCTCAAATGGTTCCAGACCAGATTAAGTTTCATTTCTCTTGAATACAAAACAGGATATTTTGAAAAATGTTGAAAACTAGTAACCACTGACTTCCATAGTAGGGAAAACATACTTTGGAAGTCAATGGCAATGTTTTCATCCAAAGATGCGAAGTAAACGTGCACGCTAAATTGAAATATTGCATTAGTTTTTATCCAGTGAGTCAAAGAGATCAATATCATCACTTCCTAATGAACTGGAGCAAAATTTAAAAAAGAAAAATGGAATTTGTTGGTTTGAGAAGCCAGTGTAGGACTTTTTTTAATATAATAAATCTATTGCGCCTTTTCTTTTGGGGGCATGAGATGTTCTTTGGTAGCGCAGATGGTCAAGACAGTTATGGGAGATAATAAAACTAAACTACTTTAATAATGAAATTTGGCTGAGGAATTTTAGAAAGACAAAAACATACAGTGGTTGGGTGAGCTTAACGCGATGCAATTTAAGAAAACACATGCAATTACAAAAAACACCAGCAAATAAGATTTTTATCAGTTAGACAGCATACGTGTTGCAGATACTCACAATGCAAACACAATAAGAAAACACCTGAAAAATCCATTTCCAGCCAGGTTTGTCACGTTTTTGGGTCACCTTGAAACATTTCTATTGTGTTCGGAGTTATTTGCATTGGTTGTGAGAAATCACAATGCGTTTTCTTAAATTGTTTGTGTTGTGTACATTACAGTGGTCACTTCCATTAATGCTGCTCACCTTTCACGGCCTTGCAGTTTCGCAAATTTTTAAAATTTAATTTGACTCGCTTTTTTTTTTACAGCGCATTGTGTTCTGCGTCCTGATTGGCAGTAGGCCATTGTCAATCAATCTCCTCTGCGCCGTGTCTCCTGTTCAGAACTGAATGCGTTCAGCTTGCCAAATTCACATGAATGAAAGTTTTCTCCGTAGCATCATCAAATCTGTAGCATCAAAGGCACCGGCGGTAGCAACCAAAAGGCAGAGGAAGATGATAACCATCATACAAGTTGAACGTCTGGACCATAGACTGTAAAATATATGGATGTAGTATCCGTGACGTCACCCATAGGTTTCTGAAGAGCGCAAAAGAAGCCACAAGTAGGTGCGGCCAACCGTCGACATTTTGTTCCTTTGTCATCGCACTCACGGCGAGATACCAAACAAGGGCAAAGAGGCGGAGAGTGATGGGAGCTACAGATACCTGCTGGCATTTTGCTTGGACCAAGCGTAGACACACTTCACTTTGGGAAAATCGTAATACTTTATCACCTGCGACTCGTTTGTGTTCTGACCACATGTGCTTGGCTGTACACTATATCAATAAGTGTTTAGTCTTTTAAAAACACTGCTGTGATACATTGAGCCACTAAGTATTGTTCTTATGATGTTTGTCTACAGGAGGAAAACACAAATTACTTCCAAACTCTTCAGATATAGTCTGTGTTAGTACATGAAAGACTATTGATGAAATCTAGCATAATACTGTATGATAACACTTCAGATGACTGTTCTACAGTCCACATCTAATCAATCTGTCAGATTCTGGAGTGCATTACAGCTCTAAAGAACATTATAAATGATCTTAAATAAAACAAATACATGTATAGAGATGGTATATAAGTGTATACCTTTACTCACATGGTAAACGGAGGCCACGTGAATGGTTTGTGAGCACAATTAAGTGCACACAGCATCCCCTATCATCTGATAATTGTAGGAAATAATCCCAAAAGGGAACTGACTGTGTAAAGCCACATAAAACAAAACAAAAATATGATTAATATGCCAAAATCAGTGGCTTATCTGCTGGAGTCAGCTGAGGTGAAGTGACGGCGACAGCGAGACCTAGCTGTCAATCAAGTGACCACGCCCTTAATTATGCAAACTTAATATAACCTAATATAAAGGACACTGATGACTTATAAAAAAAAATTCACCCCCCTCACAGTTGTTATGAAGGGCAATATTAGCTTTATGAACCAAAAGTGTTCTTTGTACCAGGCTGTAAACACCTTTATTTTGCTGCAAAGTTGGCCATTCTAACAGTGGGCTCAATTGAAATTTGCTCTATTAAGGAGCCAGGACTAGCAGATTTTCAATAAATTGCAGTTTCAGTTACTTCCATATTGGCCTCCCGAGGGAGAGCGGGAAGTTGCCGCTTGGTCTGGACATGCTGGACTGGCTGTTGGGCGCCATTAGGTTTGAACTGTGAGAGAGAAAAGTGTAAAAACAACTAAAATGCCATCCCATCGCACTGATTTTTATTATCAAATGATCTGTTAAAACAAATTCACATGACTTTTTGATGTGCATGTTGTAATTTATTCAGTAAATGTGTTTGCATTGTAGTTTATGCACATTTTTACTTATAAAATAAAAGATGCGTTCTACTCAGTTGTGCGCACAACTTTTCAAAATGTGTTTTATGTTGGCGTTTCCATTAAGCATTTTGTACACAATATTCCAAAATGTGCAGAATGAAAACATAACTACTGGCTACCAGTTTCCAACATTCTTCAAAATATCTTTTTGTGTGTTCAAGAAGAAACTCAAACAGGTTGTGAACAAGTAAGTGTGAGTAAACGATGATGGAAATTTCGATTTTGGGTGAACTCCTCTTTAAAAGAATTAGTGTAAGCTCTGTAGTTCCTCTGCATATTTTTTCCAGCAACGACAAGAGGTAAAAATAGATCTTCTGAAGGCAAAACACTGAAAGGAACAGTGAACAGATCACATGAAAGACAGTACCTTCTCCTTGGAGGACAGTGTGGGGTGGACAAATTTTCTATACAGCACACTGGATCCCTTTGTGTACGGGGAAAGTAACCAAACCACAAAGGCGATTTTGAGTTCATAGTAGAATGGGAGCCTTCAAAAAGACAATCATACAGTATGCTCATGTGTCATACTAGATAACGCCCACATCAAACCATATACCAGACGCAGAATTAAAAATGTGAGTAATCCTTAACAAAAGGATATGATGGAGCACTGTACTTACCAGCACAAAAAGATATCAGTAATCACCTCCACTGTTGTAAAAAGTGCAAATATTATCCAGTACATCATCCATTTTACCTGTGGGAAAATAAAAGAGTTCATGAAAAAAGCAAGCGAATAAACATGAATGTTAATGAGATGATGAAGGCGTATCTGAGCTTTACTTACATATTCTCTCACATCTTTCGATTTAACAGCTTTGTATGAGGAGTATGCTGGGTAAAGGGTACCAAATATCAGCCTGTGAGAGAGACACAACATGATTAAGATAAAGAAGTGCAAAACAGAAAGGCATTTATCTTGATATATTATTAATATGCCATGAGTTGTCTTGTGCAACACGGTAGTTCAGTGGTAGGCACTGTCGCTTCAAACCAAGAAGGTCACCGGTTGAGGTCCCGACTGGACCAGTTGTCATTTCTTTGTGGAGTTTGCATGTTCTCCACATGGGGTTCCTCCGGGTGCTCCAGTTTTCCCCACAGCCCAGACACGTGCTATAGGTGAATTTGATAAACTAAATTGGCTGTAGCGTACGTGTAAATGAGTGTGTATGGCTGTTTCCCAGTAATGGTATGTGGCTGGAAAGCCAGCTGCTGCGCAAAACATATACTGGAATAGTTGGTGGTTCATTCCGCTGTGGCAGCCCCTGATAAATAAAAAACTATGCCCAAGGAAAATGAATGAATGAATGAGTTGTTTTGTAATGTTTGTTTAAAGAGTGAGTGAAGTCAAAATTTGCAAGGTTTATTTTGCTAGACCACACTGTTATTCTTTAGGTAAAAAATTAATCCACTGAAAAAAAGCTTGTTTTGGTAACCTTTAATCAACATCTGAGCATGTGCTTCTGCGTTTTAAGTGGCAGTCTTTCTGTCGGTTAATTTTTTTTTATATAATGCAAAGTGATACATGAAATTACATGATACAAAATCAAACACAAAAGAAAACAAACAAACCTTCTCTGATGATGTCAGTTTGACAGTTCAATATTCTTAACCACCCCTCTTACCGTTAGTTTGCCATGGAGCAAAGAGCTTAGAATCACCAAGAGGCGACACTCAATAGAACGTTTCATTGCAACAGCAGCTCTCAGCAACAGCCCCGCGATTCCGCCATTTTGGAGTAAAAGCGATCAGCCTTCCATTGGATCTTATTGCTGTCGCGATGGCAAGCAGCGGCTTTGTTTTTTATTTATTTATTTAAAAAGCACATTAAAGCTGAGATACAACCTAAAAGATGACAATACAACACTTACTATCACAATCATCAGCACTTTTAATACTTTATTTTACAGACTTAAAATATGCTGTCGTTCTGGTGATGCGGTGGAGCAGTAGGTAGTGCTGTTGCTTCACAGCAAGAAGGTTCGAGCCTCGGCGGGGTCAGTTGGCATTTCTGTGTGGAGTTTGCATGTTCTTCCCGCGTTCACGTGGGTTTCCACCGGGTTTCCCCCACAGTCCAAAGACATGTGGTACAGGTGAATTGGGTAAATTGTCCGTAGCGTATGAGTGTGTATGGGTGTTTCCCAGAGATGGGTTGGAGCTGGAAGGGCATCAGCTGCATAAAACATATGCTGGATTAGTTGGCGGATTGGCGGACCCCAGATTAATAAAGGGTCTAAGCCGAAAAGAAAATTTATGATTATATGCTGTTGTTCTATTGAAATTTTCATTCCAAAATTACGCGTGATACTAGCGGCATGTACTGTCTTCTAGTTTCTCAAATCGCACTAGGCTCTATTTACATGCTCTTTGAATGAAGAAATAATGTGCAAAAAGAAAGCCCCGACCCCTACTCAATATTCAGTTTTAGTTGAAAGTATATCAATTTACTGAAATTAAAGTCTTGTCAAAGTATTTTTTTTTATATAATTACAAATGTCTGTTAGGTTATTTTTTATAACATTTAAGTTACGTTAAGTTAGTTACATTTAATTTAGTTATTTCTTAGTGGTATAGTTTTATCCATATTTGACCCAACATTAGGTTACAACAACCCACCATTTTTAGCATGTAATTTTTTGTAATATATTTTTTTAAAAGCGATATATTCAAATGTGAAGGACTAAGGTAATTTTTTTCTGGGGAATTTAGAAGTTTGTGACAATTTAAAGCTCATGAGAGATTTTCTTTTGCTCTTGAAACGTGAAGTTAATATTTACCATGTTCAGGGTAATGCCAAAAAGGGTCATTCAATATTGTAATGTCAAAGTGTCATAACACAAAAAGGAGGATTCATTATAACCAGTCTGTTTTCTCAAATATAGCTTTACAGTTATATTTAATGGTTTTCAAATATACAGTTTTATTTGAATGATCTGTGAGCATGATGCATACATACCAGATCTATAGTATTTTACGGTAATTGTAAAATGAATGCTAAAATTAAATGAAGGTGGAAACCTTTTACCATTGTCTTCCAAAGTATTTGTTTTTTTCTACTATGGATGTCAATGGTGACCATTTTCAACATTTTTCAAAATATCTTTTTTTGTGTTTAACAGAAATAAGAAACTAATAAAGGTTTGGAATCACTTGAGGGTGACTAAAAAGTTTTAATTTTTAGGCGAACTGTTTTCTCACTCATTTCTTTGCTATGGTTAGCTTATAAAATGAAAGTACATGGCATATCTTAGCAGGTTGAAAGAGTTTCTAAATGTTATCTTTTGTTAAATAAATGTTTTTATATTTTAGAGTAGAAAAATGACAGTGTTCAAGAGCATATCACTGTCAATGTCTTTTCAACTTCAAGAAAACCTTGCCTAAACATCTATTATAGCTTATAATAATGCATAAACAATTTATTGATTTGCCAAATTTCATTATGTTTGTATATCATTGTAGATAATGTATTATTAAACTATTTCATATTAGAAACTTAGACAAAATTGCATATTTAGTGAGTCATTCATTTATTGTCAATCAATGTGTTGGCACATTCTAAATGTGAGAATTTTTTCTCCTGTTGATGAGCATAATCTGCTATTGAGGTGGCTTAAAAGGATAATTAATAAGAAAATTATAATATTTTCATCGCTTACTCATTCCTCACTTGTTCCAAACCTGTTTGCTTTCTTCTATTGAACACAAAGGAAAGGATATACCAGATTGTTGGCAAAAAATATAATTTTTTTTTTTATCCTAATATGAATGTCAATGGCTACTATCTTACCAACATTCTTCAGAATATTTTCCTTTGTGTTCAATATGAGAAAAAAAAAACCTCAAAACTAATAACCACTTGAGTGTTAAAGAGTAAATGAGTATTTTTTATTGTTTTAGATGAACTAAAATAGTTTTGTATGTGTCTTTTGGCCAACAATGGATGGCTACAGACATTAAAAATACTCACATTTTAAAATAATATATACCCGAGTAAAGTGTGACAACAAACTTGTAGACAAATCAGCAAAATGACATCATTGATTACAAGTATTACCTCATCTGTGTATGTACTAACTGGTCAGATCTCTTCAGAACGAGTTTGTGTTTTATTGTAAGATTAGTTGTTTTATTTTCGACTATCATGTGATTTCAATCAATTACACAAATTACACAACAAAGGCCACTTATAAATGCCTTCTAGGTCCACTTCCCTGAAAGGAAACCGCTCCACTCCCTTTCCATTATTGATATTTGCAAGAGAACTGCCCTTTATAGGCCTCTAGTCTCATTTATACTCAAGCCAGAACATATTTCATGCAATTCCTCCGTGCTGAAGAGCCATTGTAGCACGTAAACAGGCGACAGATCCGCGCGACCCCCAGGTTTACATTCTGCGTGCTTGATAAAAATAGACCCGACAAGTGAACGCTCGTCAAGGGCGCATGATCAAAACCAAACGGCACAAAGCGAATGGTGGTTTCGCATTGCTATATCCATAGGTTAAACGGGTGATTTGAAAGTGCTGGATAACCAAAAAGAAGTGGCCTGCACCTGTGGTCCAGCATTTCGGGGTCTATTCCAGTGTCCTTTATCCCAGCAACAGCTGCGCCTCAGACCCGATCAAATACCCAGACCCACAAAACAAAACATTTCCCACCAAACACACTATATAGGGCACTCCGAGCAAAAACACACAGCTTTATTGTCTATTTTAAGACTAGCGTGCTGCACAAGTGCTGGCATATGTGCAATGTCATCGGATATGAACTAAAATGAATTGAACTGCTATTTAGAGATTGCACACACAGCAAGCAAACCTACTGAAGCCACACAGCTAAACGTACATTAATGGTAATTAGTATTAGGTTTAGTGTAAAAAAATGAAGCAAATAATGAGAAAACCTGCACACAAGTGTTCACCAGCTGACCATCCCATTGTTTTTATGACTCACACACATCAAAGACTTGCTCTCATGTACCAAACCTTAAAAAACAGGCTTCATATTTACACCTCAGATTGAGCATTTCTACTGTGTTCTAGATTGAGGTGTTGAATAAAACGAGCTGCTTCAATGTCTGAGCGACCCTGTTTTATAATTCACCATGGTGTCAGATTCTTACTGCTTATCGCTTAGCTTGCAAGTGTACTACAGCCTCTTTTATGATGGCCTATTAATATGTAAATGAAAGATAATCTAAGCACAAATCAGGCCTGATATATAATTGCCTCTATTTATTTCTATTCTGTATAGAATTAAGAGGCGCGCTGGAAAAAATCCTCGCGTTATCAAGAAGGTGTAAAACAGCACATTGATATACAGAATAAACACAGAATTCTTATTTATCTCTATGAACATGCTTTACAAGAGTAGAATAATGACTTACACCACAAGCCTAGAAATAATCCAGGAGACCATTGCGCTGTGAGAGCGGCGTGTTGTCAACAGGGAGGAGTTTCCTGCGAGTCTGGTTCGGCATTTATCGTTTGACAGACGCGTCTGCGCATGCGCTCTCCTTAACACATGTGGGTTACAGATAATAGACCAACATAATAATCGTCTTGAACGACAACTGCCCTAAAAATGGAAAAGTCAGATCAAGGTAAAATGGTGCATATCATTAAACTGTTATTTGACGAATCATAACTATGATTTTTAGACTTGTTATAATTATCAAAAAATAATGTATTTATTGCCACATGTGTATTTCAGTTATACATAATACTAATGTTATTATTAATATACTTACTATTATTATTTCAAATATAATGTTTTTTACCAGCAAAAATAATAAAAGGCTGCTTAAAGGACTCAATCATAATTGATTGATTCCTTCATTTTCTTTTCGGCTTATCCCTTTACCAATCTGGGGTCGCCAAAGCGGAATGAACCGCCAACTAATCCAGCATATGTTTTACGCAGTGGATTCTCTACCCAGCTGTAACTGATCACCGGGAAACATCCATACACACTCAATCACATACGAATAATTGTGGGGGTAACCGGAGCACCCAGAGGAAACCCACGGAAACAGTGATAAGATGTAAACTCTACACAGAAATGCCAGCTGACCTAGCCAAGGCTTGAATCAGCGACCTTCTGGTTGAAACATAAACAACTGAACATGTTTACATTTAATATTCATACACTGTTAATTTATCCTCTTTACTCAATAATAATAAGAAATGATGCTTCATTTTCTATTTTGCTAAAAAAGCTACTAAATTGCATTACATTTAACATTAACATTAGATGTTTTTCCTCATTTCATTGCTTTTAATAATGTCCAAAAATAATAAATATAATGATTTTATTTTGCCGGTGCAGTAGGGAGTGCTGTCGCCTCACAGCAAGAAGGTTGTTGGTTCGAGCCTCGGCTGGGTCAGTTGGCGTTTCTGTGTGGAGTTTGCATGTTCTTCCTGCGTTTGCGTGGATTTCCTCCGGGTGCTCCGGTTTCCCACACAGTCCAAAGACATGCGGTTCAAGTGAATTGGGTGGCTAAATTGTTTGTTTTGTATGCGTGTGAATGAGTGTGTGTGGACGTTTCCCAGAGACGGGTTGCGGCTGGAAGGGCATCCGCTGCATAAAAACATGCTGGATAAGTTGGCGATTCTTTCCGCTGTGGCCACCCCAGATTGATAAAGGGACTTAGCCGAAAAGAAAATTAATAAATAAATAAATGATTTTATTTTTTTATGTTTTTAATGCTTTAATTTTTATGTACTATTTTTATTGTCATTATTTTAGGGCTATTTTAGTCTTCTATATAAACAATAAGCACTGTATTACCTGTATGTATGAATATTATACCATATAATATTATACTATATATTATTGGGTGGCGCATGACCGAGATTTTAAACATAGGCCTATGGATAATAGATTTAAACAATGAACATATTCATGAATCTCTACATTTTGTACAATTATAAAGGATGGCAGAATGAAATGCTTCAAAACTTTAAAGATGAACTGGTCTTATAAATCAAGATCTATTTAGATAGTTGCTGGGCTATTATTTGACAGAAAAACAGGATGAGGATTTAAACAATCAGCTTGTTCAGATTTTAATTCACGAAAAGTATGACTAAAACAATTTCTAAAATTATATAGAGCAATAAGTAATTCTATAGGACTCTCAACAGACTACAAAAGATTAAAATGGGAAAAGGAAGTAGGCTTTATTTTAAAATTTTGATCAAGACCAATGAGCTAAATATGTGCTGTCCCACATACCTCAGCAAGCTCAAGAATGTGGCATAAGGTTTTTTTTTATCGAATTAAATTGTTTATTACACCAAGAATTAAATTATAACAGTGGAAACTCCTCATCCTTGTTGGAGGAACTGTGGGTTAGAAGAGGCACATCATGCACATATTCTGACTTTGTGAATTGACATTTTTTGGGAAACTGTACTCTCTGCTATTAATAATATTTCTGATCTTCATATTCCTAGATAATTCAATGTGCTTTATCTAGGAGATATTCCATTTAAACTTGAATAAGAGGATAGATATCTATTTAAGATATTACTGGCAACAAGTAAGAAAGCTATAACCCGCAAATGGTATGAAGAAGACCCATCAAATAAAGATGAATAATTCAAAATTATAGCAGAAGTTTAGGACATGAAAAAATGACACATGCACTTCAATTACAGAAAGAGATTTTTTAAAAAGAAACGAAGTAAATGACTGGCTTTCTCCACAATGACAACACAATTATCCATAATTTAACATTTACATAATTCTGAAAGCTATGTATCATTGAGAGAATATGTTTGGCAACCTTTTTTTTTTTAAAAACTTATTGTTTTGATTTTTTTGTTAATGTAAAATTTCTATGATTGTATGTATACAGATGTACATGTATTCGTGTATGTGTGTATATACAGTTGAAATCAGAACGATTAAACCCCCTTATTTCTTTTCTTTTTAACATTTTTTTAAATTATTTTTATAAGAGCAAGGGAATTTTCACAGTGTGTCTGATAATATTTTCTCTTCCGGAGAATGTCTTGTTTTATTTCAGCTAGAATAAAAGCAGTTTTTAATTTTTAAAAAATATTTTAAGGTCAAAATTATTAGCTTTAAGATATATATATATATATATTTATTTTTTTCTTCGATAGTCTGCAGAACAAACCACTGTTATACAATACCTTGCCTAATTTCCCTGAATCTGCCTAGTTAACCTAATTAACCTAGTTAAGGTTTTAAATGTCACTGTAAGCTGTATAGAAGTGTGTTGAAAAATATCTAGTCAAATATTATGTACTGTAATGGCAAAGATGAAAACAATCGGTAATTAGAAATGAGTTACTAAAACTATTATGTTTAGAAATGTGCTGAACAAATCTTCTCTCTATTAAACATAAATTGGGGGGAAAAATAAACAGGGGGGCTAATTCTGACTTCAATTGTATATATACAGTATCAATAGTATAAAAAAAGAAAATTGCGATAAACTGTAAACAAACTTGCCTTGCCTTATGAATAATAATGACCATCTCTCTCATTAAAATTATAATAACTATTATCAGTTGTAGTATAATTATTTGTATAACCCTGTGCATTCAACAATGAGCATTAATAGAGTCTAAAGTTAAGCATGTTTATGAAAAAACATTGCATTACCTATAAGTAACAGATCACTACTAAGCTGCAAAAGTCTACTGTCTGGATCATTCTCAGATTGAGTAAAATCTGTGTTTATAATACTCTACACTTAATCGTTCAAGCTTGGAGATTTGCCTTTGTGAAATGAACAGAGCGTCTATAGAGAAGTAACCTAGATTCGCAGTCAGAAGGATCTGGTTTCCTTCACAGAGCTGTGTGTGTGTGTGTGTGTGAGAGAGAGAGAGAGAGAGAGAGAGAGAGAGAGAGAGAGAGAGAGAGAGAGAGAAAGAGAGAGAGAGGGAGAAAGAGTTGAAAGAAGAAAGACTGAGGTAAGTAAAAGAACCCTCTGACAATCCCAAAAGACTGCACTAGACAGCAGATAACACCACAAGGGCTGTAATGCCTTTATACAGTGTCCTCCACTAATATTGACACCACTGGTAAATATGAAAAGGCTGTGAAAAAATAAGTCTTTATTTGTTAAATTCTTTGATCGTTTGATTAGTTATTAACAGCAGCAACAAAATAATAATCTCACAGCATTTTATCAAAAACAACTTATTTTTTAATTTTATGTGTGCCAAAGTTATAAGCAACCTATAAACAATTTTGAGCAAACTTTTCTGTTATTAACACTGAAAATGCTGATTTATCAGGGCAATAACAATAGTATAAAATAGTTTAAAACAAGACCTCCATGACAACAATGGAACTGGTAGAAGATATCTCTAATTCAGTGGAAAATTAGGATTATTTCCTAAGAGATCTTGGTCCATTTTGACATGATAGCATCACGCAGTTGCTGCAGATTTGTTGGCTGCACATCCATGATGCCAATCTCCCGTTTCACCACATCCCAAAGGTGCTCTATTGGATTGAGAACTGGAGACTGTGGAGGCCATTTGAGTACAGTGAACTTATTGTCATGTTCAAGAAACCAGTCTGAGATGATTCACGCTTTATGAAGTGGTGTGTTATTCTGCTGGAAGTAGCCATCAGATGATGGCCCAAAGTGTGCCAAGAAAACAACCCCCACACCATTACACCACCACCAGCAGCCTGAACCATTGATACAATGCAGGATGGATCCATGCTTTCATGTTGTTGAAGCCAAATTCTGACCCTACCATCTGAATGTGCTGCTGAAATCGAGACTTATCAGACCAGGCAACGTTTTTTTAATCTTCTGTTGTCCAGTTTTGGTGAGCCTGTATTATATACTGTACTGAATTGTAGCCTCAGTTTCATGTTCTTAGCTGACAGGAGTGGCACTCGGTGTGGTCTTCTGCTGCTAACAACTGTTACCGAGCAGTTGTTACCTAATAAAGTGGCCAGTGAGTGTATATATACTGTAGGTATAAGATAAAAAGCTTTCACCTGGTTAAAAAGTTACATTAAGGACAGATATCAGTTTGCTCAAATTAACATTGTTAAACCTGATTTAAGGAAGGTTACTTGTGGTGTTCCACAAGGTTCAGTGCTAGGCCCCAAGTTAATTATATTGTATGTAAATGATAATTTTAAAGTTTCACAAGTGTTAAAACAGTTTTGTTTGCAGATATTAAAGATATAATGTACATCTAGGCAGTTGTTATTCATCTCTTACATTTATATTGCACTATTCTGTGTACTCAAAGAGCTTAACAAATGTTGAGGAATCTCCTCATCATATTGATATCGTAGAATAAAGCCCAAAAGGCTTATCAGCATTGTTGAAAGACTGAAGGGCTTTATTTAGCAAAACAAACCCAATGATGACAAGGTGCAAGCACATTAGCTTCACTGAGAAACTTTCAGACAGTTTGTGCAGAAATTCTGTTATGTTAAACGATTGTGGCAGAAGCTGCCCAGGCAGCTGGTCTCAGATAATCTTAGAGATGAAGATGCTGAACAGTTGTGGATGCACATGGACTAAAGTTGTGAGGCTGGTTGGATGTACTGCCAAATTCTCAGAAATGCATTTGGAGAGAGCTTGTGGAAGGGAAATGAACAATCAATTCATGTGCAACAGTTATGGTGAACATTCCTGTAGTCAGCATGCCAATTGATGCTCATTCAAAACTTGCAAAATCTGTGGCATTGTGCTGTGTGATAAAACTGCACATTTTAGAGTGGCCTTTTATTGTGGCCAGCCTAAAGCATGTCTGTGCCATAATCATGGTGTTTAATCTGCATCTTGATATGCCACACCTGTAAAGTGGATGGATTATCTCGGCATAGGAGAGGTGTTCACTAATACAGATTTAGACCGATGTGTGAACAATATTTGAGAGAAATGGGCCTTTGGTTTTGATTTATTAATTCAGCTCATTAAAAATTGGCAAGTTCTTACAAAATGTTACAAATGAAATCAATAAAAAAGTTTAAAGTGTTAATCATTATAATCTGACAAACCAATTTTGAGATTAATTTATATGCTTTAAGATTCACAGATTTAGTGGTCCCACTTTATATTAGGTGTTCTTAAATACTGTGTACTTGGATTAAAAAATAAAAACAATGTACTAACTGTGTTCACACTTCTAGTGCTCTTTAGGTGGGAAACAGGAAGGGTTTAGTGACATGAGAAGGTTTAAGGTGTAAGGATGGTCATGGTCAACAGAGTTATTAAGAATGTAATTAGAGGCAGGTAATTAATTAGTCATAGGTACAATGTAAAACATGTATTAGACAATAAGTACATTGTAACAAATAAATAATTTCAGTGTAAGTACATATTAGTTAAGACAACTTAATATGAAGTGTTACCAATTGAGTTGATTTATATACTGCGCAGATAATGTATAAAGCTTTTAATAAGTTACTTACAATTAATATTTAGTGGCTTTTCAAAGTATGTGAAACTCAGTAAAATATAAGTGTAATGTATATGTTTAAATAAAGGCAAAAACTAATAAAAAAGGGGGGTAAACCTGTATCATCAAGTTTACCAGAAAGAGTCGTTTATCAGATCAATAAAGGGTATAGGCATAATAAACAAGGTTTCGGCCTTCACATTTTTTGGTTATTTATTGATTTTGTAAATATATGACAGTGAGAACTGAAAAGATTCAATTGAAAAATAATTAGGAAATGTATATTATTGAATGTAGATTATTAAATCTAAATTTCCACTCATATTTTGAGAGGCTTTCAAGATAAAAAAGTTTCTACTCTCATCCAAGAATAAACTCAAGCATCTTCAGTTTTTTTTTGTTAATGATATTTTGAGCAAAATATCAAACTGTTAAGTAATAATGATATTTCTCTAACATTCTTGGCTCATATTTAAAAGTGTCAGTATTAAAGGAGGACATGAGTAAAACTGAATACAAGCTTTCATCGGTTTTGTGAAATGTACTCTTTCTGTTTGTAAAATTTTATTAGTGTTACCAACATATATTTTTGTTTTCCATATACAAAACAATTTTATGTGCAGATGTGAATGTTCTTGCACAACAGTAAAAGTCTGAAATAAAGCAAAATAATCCATTTGGATCATTCAAGAAAGAAAGAAAAAAAAAAGAATTAATGTCAAATAAGCAAATACTATATCTAGAAATCAGGGATGAACCAAAATGAATATTCTGGGCCAAAATTGAAAATTCTGCATGCACTCAGTCTAAAGCCGAAAATTATTTCTTATAACTACTTATTTTTTTATTAAATATTTTCAATTTGTAAGACTTGGTCAATTTCAATAACTTAAATCATGTTACTTAAAAAAAGAAACACAAGCCAGTAAATTTACCATATTTGTGACTCTGGACCCCAAACCAGGCTTATTTTGCACAATTACACTCTTGCCAATAGCCAAAAATACATTATATAGGTCAAAATTTTTTATTTTCCTTTATGTCAAAAAATATTTTATTAAAGAGGATCATGTTCCATGAAGATATTTTGTAAACCGTTTCTCAATATGCATTTTTTTGTACACCCTTAGATCGTAGATATGTTTAAATAGTTTGATCTAGGCCACATATTGTCTACTTCTAACAAACCATACATGAATGCAATGGAAAGCTTATTTATTTAGATTTTATGTGATGTATATATCTTCATTTCCAAAAAATGTTGAGTTTTTTTTTTTGGTCCCGGGTCACATCTTATTAACGATGTCGAGGGGCGTCAGTTTTCTAGTATTGCCATGACAGCACATTTGCACGATTACAAGCAGCAGGAACAAGTAAACTATAAAAAGTTCTGTCAGTGTATTATTTGAGTGGGCTTTACTTTTTAGGTGAGCATGTGCAAATCATGCATAAGCAGATAGAAAATAGGGGAATTTTTAGCTATTTTGAGCTGAATAAGACAATAATATGATGTTTACATGAGTTGCTTTTTAAATGTTACTTTTATGTTCCTCTTTATAGTACATAGTTCGATTAATGTCACCATTTGACACTAGTTTCATCCAAACTACAAAGGTAATGGTTTGATTAAGGTGTTTACACTACCTGACAAGTCTTGTCGCCTATCCTAGTTTTAGGAACAACAAATCATAATGTTACATCCCTTGGATGTATTTATTATTATTATTATTATTGTTGTTGTTGTTGTTGTTGTTGTTTAATTGTGTGTTTACTGCCCATTGGGAGTGGCAATGTTGTGTGTCTCTCTGCCTGCTCACTAGGTAGAGCTGATTGGGCCCAGGTGGTGCTCATCATTGGAGCATGCTGCAGTAACACGCTGCTACAAAAGAGCAGTGTGCCTCATCCCAACGAGAGGTTCACTTCTACCCAGCTCCAGACTTGTTGCTGCATACTATTTGGGTATTCATCCTATTTTATATTGAGAGATGTTTATTAAGCTATTGGGTTCAATTTAACTTCTGTCTTTGAAGAAACTTGGTGTTTCTCTTGTGTTGTGGAACTTTACAGACAGTGTGTCTGCTTTCTTAGTTGTAAATTAAACTATACTTTTTTGTGTGGTATTTAAAAGGTAATTGTATTGTTTTTTTTTGTCTTGAAATTTTGATTAACAAAACGAAGCTGTAGGGAGAGGGTGCCATTTTTATTTTTGTACTTGTTTGACTGTGTTTATTCATAGTAAGGGAGTTGAGGAAAGCCTTGTTTTGTTTTAGGGCTGCTTGATTTTGGGAAAAATCATAATGATGATTATTTTGGTCATAATTGTAATCACGATTATTCAAAATGATTATCAGTTGAAGTCAAAATTATAAGCGCTCCTGAGAATTTTTTTTTTTAAATAAATATTTCCCAAATGATGTTTAACAGAGCAATGAATTTTAACAGTATTTCCTATAATATTTTTCTTCTAGGCTTATTTGTTTTATTTTAGCCAGAATAAAAGCAGGTTTAAATATTTTGAAACTCATTTTAAGGTCAATATTATTAGCCCCTTAAGCAATATATTTTTTGATTGTCTGCAGAAGAAACTACTGTTATACAATGACTAGCCTAATTACTCTAATTAAGCCTTTAAATTGCACTTTAATCTGAATGCTTGTATTTAAAAATATCTAGTAAAATAGTATGTACTGTTATCATAGTAAAGATAAAAGAAATTAATTATCAAAACTATTATGTTTATAAATAAGTAAAAAAAAAAAAAAACTTATTTCCATTAAACAGAAATTGGGCAGGAAAAGGGTTGCTAATATTCAGGAGGGCTAATAATTCTGACTGCAAAGGAAAGATAAATACAATAGAATAAAAATATGAAACAAACTGTGCTTTAAGTATCTTCACCCTAAGAAAAATACTTAGCTACAAAAATTCTTCAGTCAAGAGTAGAGAGGGATTTTTCTTCTTGTTGTTTGATTAATGATAAAAACAAGTGGCAGCAGGAATATTTCGCGCTGTCACTTTAATGGTTTCTCTTTCACGTGTCTTTTGATCCTCAACTCGTTTGTTTATTACACAAATGAGGGTTATTATGAATAATCACTAAACACGCGTTTTGACACCTATTTGACCATTAAAGTGCTCACGTTAAGTCAACTTTAGTTATTTAGATTAATGCTTTTTCATAATCGTTTGAAACCAAAATCGAAATCGGATTTTCGATTAATTGCATAGCCCTATTTTGTTTCTTTTCTTTTAACTGAAACTAGGTTATTTAGTACTCCTAAGCTAGATCTGTTTTGTTTGTTGTTTTGGTTAGTCTTTCTCCCGAAGACTTATGCTTCATTTATTGTTTATTGAATGAGAACAAAAGAATAAAAGATTTGAGTTTACTCTTGTGGTTGTTTCACACTTCTGAGGCAGAGGATTGAAGTGTTTCCTCAATTTTTATTTAACCTTTACACAATTCATTAATTTGGTCTTCTTTTTCTTAAATTTTAATTTTCTTTGTTGTTTTCCTACCCCAACCCTTGACAAAAGGGGAAGGAACGTAACAATAACTTGACTTCAAGTTTATCATTTGGTATGAGATGTGGCTTATATGATATGCAAAGGCCTCTAGATCATGCTTATTTTACCAAATTAATATATGATCATGCCAATATGATCAAATTATTATTTGTGGCTCTGACAACTGGGATCATAAACAAGACTTTTGTCAGGTAGTGTACATGTCTGTATTACACGTCAATAATGCGACTAAAATAGGTTTCAATTGGATTTATATTTAGTTCGATTGAAATAGGTTTCAATTGTATTTATATTTAGTTCGATTATGACTTCATTTGGCCTGGGCCAATCAAAAATCGGTTTACATGGTAGACTCTTAATCAGAGTAAAATCGGAGTATTGGTGTCATGTTGACATACTCACTGACTTTTCAGACTATACAATAAGTATAAAATGGGCTGAAAAGTTCATGAATAAAAGACATTTGCATCATGATTAGTGGTAAACACTGGATATGTTCAGTCATCTAAAGCAAAAGCATAATAAAAACACTCTAAAGTGGCAACTTTTGGATATAAACTACAAATCAAATCAAAGCAAAAAAAAAAAAAAAGCAAAGAGAGAAATGGGATGAACCATAAACAGCAGTCAGTTATCAAGCACAACCGTTCTTTAATTCAACGCCTGTTTTGCTTTCGTATACTTTTCCGTCTACTTTACTTACAAAATAACAATGCAAACAGAGATATTTATATATTCGGTATTTGTACAAGATTTACAAGTGATGGCTTTCATGAAATTGTCCTACTCAGTAAAACCCCATTTACCGGATTTAGGAAGGAACTATTCACTTAGCCTAGTTAAGGCTTGAGATAAAAACTGCAAATTCGACAACAGAGACAAAAATGACCAAGACCGACACCGATAAGACACCACTGCACAACAGAGGATCCTTGGATAAGCTGCTGAACTATAGGCATAGTTTCAAAGGAGTCAAAAGAGCTAAAAAATAAAATTGGCATAAGTAAAAAGTGAATGATTTCAAACAGGCTATATATAAGTTTAATAAATATATCCGACTTCGCTGTTCAATTGATAATATAATACAATATATAATATAATATAATATAATATAATATAATATAATATAATGATCTCATTCTATTCTATTTCTACTTTGTTCATTTTGTTTGAAGTTCTATATTAATGTGCTGACTGTGATATGAGTAAAAAAGCTACATAGGAGGTGAGATATGTAGTCTATGCCTATATGGAGCTCGAGGGTAAGAAAGATGTGTGTTTTAGCTTCTCAGCGCTGCTAGTCTGGACTGCATCTCCTCGATCTCTTCTTCTTCCTCCGATTCCTCTTCTGGAGCTGCAGTGGCTCCAATCGCCACTGGATCAGGCAGGTCTGTGACTTTGCTGGGAGCTTTTCCAAGTGCACCTGTTTTTGAACAAAGCAATACCTTTAGCTTTTTCCTAGGTTAATGATTGTTAAGTGCATAGTAAACTACACTGTAAATGTAAAAAATTATGTAGCAAAAAGTATTTTAAATAAGTTAATAAGTTTAACTTAATATTTTTAGTTAGTTTGACTTAAGTTTAGCTGACTAAAAAATGTAATTTGATTCTACTAAACAATTTTGGTAAGTAATCGGGTTTTTTTATTTGTTCACAGTGTGGGTACTTAAATGAACATTAGTTTTTTTTTTTTTTTTTTTTAGAGATCAGCACATTATATCCTGACAATCTCCAGCAGGCCCGTACAGAGACTGTCCAAAGGGCATGTGCAGGATAATTTTTTTGAAGAGGGGGGGGTGGGGTGGTGGTGGTGGTGGGGGGGAGGTGTTGTCGCGCACGTTCTGATCAGTGGTGTTGTCGCGCGCCTACTGAAGGGCGGTATGTGTCGCGGGGGCAATTTTGATCATTTTGGAAGGGCACTTTCTATCCAAGACTAAAAAGGGCATGTGCACTGCACAGGTTGAGCCCTATGTGTGCACGTGCCTGATCTCCAGCTCTGGCAAGAGCACTTTTAGCTTAGCTTAGCATAGATCATTGAATCAGATTAGACCATTAGCATCTTGCTCAAAAAAAATGGAAAAAGAGTTTCGAAGGTTTTCCTATTTTAAGTTTTCTCGTCTGTAGTTAAACCACATACTAAAACTGACAACAAATTAAAAGTTGCTATTTTGTAGGCAGGTACTTACGATTATTTTAGTTATCAATTAATTTTGATTATTTAATTTTAAATAACTTTTTAAAGAGTTTTCAGGATCCCTTGTGAAATTTTTGTTAGTTTTAGTTCGTATGATAACTAGCAATATAGTAATTAGTTAGCAATTTAGTTAGTAATATAGTAATATACTGCATTTAGTATGTAACATAACGATATATTACATTTTACAATATAGGTTTTTAGGTTAATTTGCTTTCAGATTACCTCTGAAAAAACATGTTTATCAAATTATTTGGAAAAGCACCTTACTGACAAAAAAAAAAAAAAACAGGGATAGCTTAGCCAAAAATGAAAATATAGCTGTCTAAACATTTATGAATTTCTTTCTCTCTTGGAAATTATCAAAAACAATAAATAAATAATAATAATAATAATAATTATATATATATATATATATATATATATATATATATATATATATATATATATATATATATATATATATATATATATATATATATATAAATAAAAATACAAAATAAATCAAATTAATTACTTATAAAAATAATAATAAATATAAAATAAAATTAATTAAATGAATAAATAATAATAAATAAACAACATAAAAAACAATAATAATAATTATTTTATTATCGGATTATGTAATTTCACATGATTTGCTACCCAAATATTTTTCATACCAACGAAAATCTAGAAAGTTGAAATTAAAGTGCCTATTTGAACATCCCGTACTTCCTTACCGGCTGTAATCTCGAAGAGGATCTTGTCGACCTCGGCCTCTGCTGCTTCCTCCATTTCCTCCTCATCATCCATCCCTTCCAGCGTATCCTCCAGCATCTCCTCTATGATGCCAGCCTGTGCAGAACGAGTGCTCCATGTTAATAATGTTAAATGCTCTGATGGAGAAAGTTCTGTGCAGAATGTTAAGCAAGGATAGTACCTTCATCATTTCTTTTGAGAGATCTCTCATGGTGGCTTGAATCTCTGGGATTTTAACCAAGCTCTGCATGGCTTTCATGACCTCTGTGCTCTTCTGCAAGGCACCAGCCACTCTTAATACAGCTGGAAAGGAAAAGAAGTGCACAAATGTATTAATTACCTTTATTGTGTTAAAAGTAGTTTAATAGCATTCAAGATAAATAAGGGAGAATGTACATCATGCAGGTTCTCACAGAATAAGGCCTAATAGGTTGGAAACAAATGTCTTGATGTTAACAAAGCATTAACATGCTTTTTAAGGGCTGTTACTGTAACTATTTAGATAACGATTAAGACTTTGTTCTACAAATCGTTATGAATGTAAAACAACAGCAGAGTTCAGATCACAGCTAGACTACAGGGTGGGCCATTTAGATGGATACACCTTAATAAAATGGGAATGGTTGATTATATTAACACCCTGTTTGTGGCACATTAGTATATGTGAGGGGGCAAAATTTTTAAGATGGGTGGTGACCATAGTGGCCACTTTAAAGTCGGCCATCTTGGATCCAACTTTTGTTTTTTCAATACGAAGAGGGTCATTTGACACATCAAATTTTTTGGGAATTTCCTAAGAAAAACAATGGTGTGCTTGATTTCAACATAACTTTATTCTTTCATGAGTTATTTACAAGTTTCTGACCACTTATAAAATGTTCTCAATGTGCTGCCCATTGTTTTGGATTGTCATTGCAACCCTCTTCTCCCACTCTTCAGACAGTAATAGCAATCCGTATTTTCAGGTGCTGCATCTTGTATCTTCACACCATAGACAACAAAGATAGTGCGGCCATTCTTCATCAATGGAAACCTCAAGGCTACATGATTGCTACATGATGATGTGTTTCCCTCTTTATGCACTTAGGCTGGCACGTTCCCTAAGTTTTTCCAGCAGGATGGTGCACAACCATGTTATGGGTGTCAGTTCCGAGCATTCCTAGATGAACAGTTTCCTGAAAAGTGGATTGGTCATCGTGGGCCAGTTGAATGGCCCCCAAGGTCTCCCGATCTGACCCCCTTAGACTTTTATCTTTGGGGTCATCTGAAGGCAATTGTCTATGGTGTGAAGATACAAAATGTGCATCACCTGAAACTACGGATACTGGAAGCCAGTGCTGGCATTTCTCCTGCAGTCTTGCTTCCAGTGTGTGAAGAGTGGGAGAAGAGGGTTGCATTGACAATCCAACACAATGGGCAGCACATTGAACACATTTTATAAGTGGTCAGAAACTTGTAAATAACTCATAAAAGAATAAAGTAACGTTAAAACCAAGCACACCATTATTTTCTTGTGAAATTCCCAATGAGTTTGATTTTTCAAAAAACCCTCTTCCTATTGAAAAAACAAAACTTGGATCCAAGATGGCCTACTTCATAATGGCCACCATGGTAACCACCCATCTTAAAAAGTTTGCCCCCTCACATATAGTAATTTGCCACAAACCGGATGTTAATATCACAAACCATTTCCAATTTATTAAGGTGTCTCCATATAAATAGCCCACCCTGTATAATGATGAAGGTGTAAAGAAACAATATAATTGGGATCACTTTAGAATGATTTATTTCTCAGCTGTTGAATGATAAAACACATACAGTCAGTTGGAATCCATTAAAAAATAAAGAGCACGCACAACTTAAAGCTACAGACAACATCATGAAGAAGCTCTGCTTGATGTTAAACTACCTTGGCTATTTTGGAAACAGTCGGTTATATCATGCAAAATAATTATAAAAACAGAAATAGAACTTATGTAAACCAGGCTGGGAATGTAAAAACAGAAAACTTCCTCAGGTATTCAGTATATCTTTGGCATCTTTATGTTCCCTTCTTTCAAAATTATTTATGCTTTTTTACTACACGTAATGTGTTTGTTTAATTCACTGAATGGTTAGATAGGGTAAGCTACACGAGCTGGATTCACTGGTCATTTGGGCTAGTAGCACACTAAGGCCACCTGCTGGTTACAAGGGGGTAATGCCATATGAAAAGTAGATCGGACAATAAACAGATTTTTATCTTTCGTCAATGCGGACACAAATATTTTGATAATTATATTTACATTTATAAATATCATGTTTTGTGTAAACATGATTTTAAATAGCTACTGAAAATCAAGCAAAAAAAAAAGAAGAACTGTCTAGAAACATTTGCAATCAACCAAATTGTAGTATTGTCTTTGTATTAGTTGTTCAAATCTTCAGTAGTGTGGAAACTGGCAATCCACCACATACATTTAACATTTCTTTTTTTCGTTTATCTTAATGTAGAAGTATATGATTGTTATCTTGTCATAATATATTCCATTTCTCAGTCTTACCTTTGCATGACAGATTTTCTAAATTATAAGTCTTATTGGTATTTATTTATCCAACTAATTGCACATTATTTACTATTTATTATTAAAAGGTAACAAACCATTTGCTAATACCTTCTATTTTAATATGACCATCTAATTAAATTCAAGTTAGAATGTCATTTAGGCTGACTGAAATCAGTGTTGTTAAAATGTTTGGCAGATTGATTTATAAATATTATATAAAACTCAATATAATCTGTGATCCTTCAGTGCATATCCAGATAAAGAAATATTAGCCCTCCTGTGAAATGTTGTTATTTTAAAAGTATCTTTCACTTGATGTATAACAGAGAAAGTAAGGTTTCACAGTATTTCCTACTGATTTTTTTCTGAAGAAAGGCTCATTACTTTTAGTTTGGCTAGAAAATAAAACATAATCATAGCTCAATAGATCAATATTATACTTATTATTATTATTATTACTAAGAAATTATAATAATTAATGATATAAAATAATTTTGTGATTGTCTACAGAACTTAATTTAATTTAATAAAATTTTAATTTTAAAATAACTAAAAAATAGCATTTGATGTCAAGATGGCAAAGACAAAAACAAATTATTTAATAAAAAGATTATGTTTAAAAATCTGTTGATGAACACAAGGGCAAAGATTAGGACATACATCGCTAAAGCGGATGTTTTGTGCTTTTAAAAATATGAATAAAAAAACTTAATAATATAAAATAAATACTTAATAATACAAATGAAAATTGTGTCCCATGCTCCAAAAGTCAATTTACATGATTTTACTGCAGTCTGGCTTTGAGGAGGTAAGAGAAATAGAAATTTAGAAGAAATTTAGAGAGGTGTGTGACACAATTTAACTATTTTATCCCGATTATTGTTTTTCATAATCATAGAGGCCAAAAGTAAAACCAAATTTTGGTTAATTGCACAGTCTTGGTTAATATTATTAGGGTGAACTCGTAGCAAACTTGAATTTGTGCATGTGTCGGTTGACGGAGCATGATTTCATTCTGAAGTCGATTAAATTATTGGTAGGGACAATCCAGTAATTGGTGGATATTGGTGGGGACACGTCCCCTCCATCCAATGCCCTAATAAAAAAAATTCAGAGGCCCCTGGGCACAATGTCTTGTAGGCCCCTACCTGGTCGCACCCCTATTGTTAAATAAAAAAAATAGGAATAACAAAATATTTATTTTTAAAATAAACTGTATCTGTAATGTATTGCCTGCATTTTTATTGTAAATGATATACAGTAAATATATTTCTAGTCTACAGAGATTTAACAAATGTTTAAAGCATACTTTGAAAAAAAATATACTAACAAAACTAGTGAAAATTAATGGATTTTAATTTACTTGTTCAAGTTTACTGAAGCAGTACAAAAAAAAATTATATTTAAGGGCATTTATATACTTTCTACACACTTATAATGCATATGATTTGGATTTAACATCTCTCCAATCCAGTTCTATGAATCAGAATCTTCTATAATCCACACATTAATTAATGAATTCCTACTTGTGAAGAGTAAACAACATCAGATATGTAGTGGGGGAAAATGAGTTCATCAGACTATGGGTTTGAACTGGGTTCATGATCAAACGCCTCAAAACAAGTTGCTATGTGCTTTACGAGCTACGCCACTCATGCTGCTGTATGATGCTCTCATTAGTTATGCTGTCTCTGTCAATGAAACGGTAATGGGCGGGAATGTCTCAATTAGCTTATTCCAACGAGGTGCGCTACTTGCATTTAGCCTGAATAGACACTCCAAAATCCCAATACTAATTAAATAAATAATTAAACAATACTAATTAAAATTTCACAAGAGGGCCATAATGTTGTCCTCAACTAGTTGTATGCGTAAATGAACAGCTATACTCACACAACTGGTTCTTCATACTGAGCAGCACAGAGTTCATCTGGGCTTTCGAGGCGTAGAGCTTGTTGATGGCTCTCTTTGACTGAATCATTTCTTTTGCCAGGATGATGCAAACATCTTTCTGTCCCTTCTTTGCGGCATCTTTGATGGATCTCTTCACCTTTTCCTCTTCTCTTTGAATATCTTAAGAGAAAAATACAATAGACACCATTAAAACTTCTGTAAAGTACAGCACAGTTACCTTATTGAACATTAATAGACATCAGTTGGTCAAAAGAAAAACAAAGTTTACTCAGGCCGAACCTCGGATCTGTCTGTCAATGACCCTCATCTCTTTCCTGATTTTGAGAGACCATTCATTGATCTGTGGAAAAGAATTGAACAGTTTCACATCAGCAACCTGTTGTGATTTCACCAACAAACGCTTGAATCAGATTTAACGAAAATATTTTTGATAACAAGCCACGTACAGACCAAAGAGTTGAACAAAAGTCAAAAAACACCTCGTTTAAGAAACGAATGAAGAAGGCATTACGTCATTCAATCATGTTACCAACAAATATGACAAGCGAGCTATTTATAGGCCTGCTGTTATTTACAATGGGATATTAAGTATAACCCGTTTATTATCGTCGTCCACCGTCAACGACGTTTCACTTACGAGGTCCTTTGGTGGTTTTTCTTGTGTTTTTCCAAAAAGCCCCATTTTAAACTCGAGAACTGTACAGCTGAACAGCGACGGGCTCAATCAAAATAGTACATTACAAGCCTACTTCCTGATCCCAGCCTCTCGACGTATGACAACATAGATGATATCCGGTTGTGAGGAGTACAGTTTGCTTTTCATAATAAAAGTGCGAATCCGAAATAAACATCTCCCAAAAATGAAGTACCGCATAGAGACCGATTAATTTATTTATATTTTTAGATAAAAGCCCTGAAAATAATGAAAACAAAAAGTGCAATTCATCTGCAGTCTTTTATAAAACAAAATATATACGCTATAGGAAAAACCCTAGCCCCCTTTTTAAATTATATTTAGTTATTCATCATTCGGTTTACTTTATCTTTATGTAATGGTGTTATTTCTGTATGTTATTTGTTACTTTTTTGCATCTGTTCTTTTTTTGTAATGTGAAGATTAGTAGCCACTTGTTAGCGCATAAGCCTAGGCAAGGCAAGTTAAAGACTATACGATACAATCCTTAAAGCAGAGATGCCCAAACTAAGGCCCGCGGGCCAAAGTTGTTCCATGGTATCCTTTAATTTGGCCCATCATCTCATATGAGAAGAGGGAGAATGATTGGGATGGTTTTGATATTGTCCATTCAAATTTAATGTAACCCTTTAATCTAGTTTGTATGTTTGTTTGTTTTATTGTTAAAAGCTAACTGCTATTAAATGTTTCAATTCAGTGGTGTAAATAATTTAGATTTGGGTTAAATGTACACACTGTCACCCGACAATGCAGAAAATTGGTTAGCAAATCAAGTTAAAGGCAGATTCTGCTTGAAAAGTGTATTCAGCATTGAAATCTGCTGTGTTATAAATGTGATTGTTTATGTTTTTATTGCAATAAGTTAAAACTTAAAAAGTTACACAGCATTAGTTAGAATGTTATAAAGTAATGTTTTCTATTTATTTTGAGATATCCTGAAATAAAATAGGAAATTACCCATGACAACTTTAATGTAATGTTGTTTAGTATATTTCAGCCCAGGGCTCTCGATTATTTGGTTTTTGGCCATTCATACAAAAAGGTTTGGGCACCCCTGCCTTAAATGGAACTTTTGCAAGTTTATTTAAATAACAAATTTCAAAAAGTGATTTACATAAACAAGAATAAAAGAAACAAGAAAATAAAATAAAAATAAAAACAATAAATAATTAAATGATTAAAAACAAGTTTAAATGTGTTAAAACAGGTTTAAAGGGAATGGAAAAAAGGAAATAAAATAAGAAGTAAAATATAATTTAAAAATATAATAAAAACAAGCCTATATATTAGTAATATATATTGTCTGCTCTTTCAATGTGTGAATGTTTATGTTTATCCTTGTATTCCTGACCATGTTCCTGTATTCCTGTGATTTGCACATTTTATTTTATTAAATTAATAAATAAAACGGATGATGTATTTAAATAAGCTAAAGTTCCATCGTAATTAGATATCAATGATTACATTTGAGTAATAACAAATACCCTTTAAGGTATTCTATAGTTTTTTGGTAATAATTAAGCAAGTAATATTTAATTGGTTAAAATTAACTGAGTAAATGTAAGTAAGTATAAGTATGTTAAGTCAAACAAAAAACAAATAAATTAATGCATTAATAAAATAAATAGTAATATTAAATAAGCAAGCAAATGGACACTGAACATTAACTGAGTAAAGGTAAGTATAAGTAAGTAAAATCAAATAAACAAACAAATAAATAAATAACAATAAAGAAATAAATAATATTAAAGAAATAAATAATATAAAAGAAATAAATAGTAATATTAAATAAGCAAGCAAAAGTGCAGTGAACATTTTAACAGCAAAATTTATTTAGAAAGCTGAATATTTAGGTGCATTTTTTCTTTCAATTCATCCACTTTGCTTTGTTTCTCATTGTTTGTGGCTCGCTGGAAAATGCTTTTGAAACCTTGTTGCTAAACCAAACGACCCTTTTACCTGGCTTTGAACTTTTTAAATAAATAAATAAATAAATAAATAAATGAATAAATCTGATTATTACTTCGACTGCAAAACAAGTTCACAGCTGATAGAATAATTATATGTACATTATTAAACTTAACATTTTGAACTCATTTCTTTAATGTGAAAATTGTCATCTCACAAGTTTAGTGACAGATATTTTAGATTGCTTATATGTTGATAATAGTAATTCATTCATTCTTAATTTAAAAAAATCATTATTTTTTTGCATTAATTCATGTATGTATGTATGTAGGCTATGTATGTATATGTGTATGTTACATAACATGTACTTATTTTGTAAAATAATATATGTTTTTTCCATTCCCACATCCAGAGATGGACCCCCTGACATTCTCATAGGTCGTTTAACTGCACGGTCATTCCCAGTGACGTAAAAATGCGAGCTTCTATCGCCAGGTTCTAGATTTTTCGTCCTTATATGTGAGGCTGCGCCAATCGAACTGTTCATCGCCATCCAGTAGCCAATTAGAACTCGCCGAGGGCGGGGCTAAACTCAATTCCAGGCTCTTGACAAATGCGCAGGTTTACCCATATTGCCGGTTGACATTATCAGTGGAGGCTGCAAGAATGCAGTAAAGCGTTCTCTCTGCAAGGATTAGAGGCGAAGAATTATCTATAAAAAGCCCGACTTACATAATAGCGAGTGATTCGTCTAGCGCACATACTGTAGAATAGGGGTGTTGTGTGTTTTTTTTATTCCACCCAGCTGCACACTGTTAAAACTGGACCGAAGGTGTTAAGAATAAAGAAATAAGGACTGAACATGTCTGTGGTGGGAATTGATGTGGGTTTCCAGAACTGTTACATCGCTGTTGCCAGGAGCGGCGGCATTGAAACCATTGCAAATGAATACAGTGACAGATGCACTCCGTAAGTATAGCCTTGCCATCCCTTGTTGTAAAATGATGCTGTGTGTCGTTACGCAACGTTTGCTGTTGCCTAGCTGGCCGAGTTCCCGAGCCAGTGCACTTTGCGACTGTCAGTTTAGTTAGAAAGATGCTAAAGCCCCTTCATTTTGCGTAAAACGAAAAAGTGTTGTAAGTTAAACCTAATCCAATGTTTGTACGCCTCGAAACGTGTCTGTGGTGAAAGTGGGCTGCTTTGATGTTTTATTTAACCTTTCTAGTTGGCTTAAAATGCTAAAAGTCTTTGTCCTTCATTTGATAGACACGATTCTCTCACGCCATTCACATGTAGAGTTGACCAGAATGACTGTTTGTGGCTTTCACTAGTGCACGTGAACCGTATAATCCGACACCCTGCATGGGGAGAAAGATCCACGAGACTGTGACCGACCGCGGCGTCGTGTGCTGTACTGTAGGTGTTCAGTCGACAAATCCACGCTCTCTCGGCTGGGCGCGGCTGTTCGACAAATCATATTAAAACGCTGTAAAACTTGATATTTATACAGTATTGTTAGAACACGACCTTTTAGACCAATGGCCTAAAGGGGTAACGTTATTGACAGTTGAGGTGTTGTAGGAGGTCACTGCAGTGCTTATTGAAATCGAATTATGTCGTTAGCGCATCCTCAGTTTATCATGCAACACCAGTTTTTGTGGATGACAGAAATATGAAGTATAAATCTGTCAAACAACTTTAAAATTTGCTCTGCAATTAAACTGAGATGATGACGGGTGTTTTTTAGACAAATATGTGGCTTACATTTGATTAAAAAGTGAATTATATATAAATATAATGGGATATGTATTTGTTACAGTATTCAAATGGGTTAACATTGGTTAATAAACACAACGGTTTATTGTTAGCTTATTCACGTTAGCTTTGTTCCATTTAACAATATTTTGCAACAATACATCATTAAGTCAAAAGTTGTACGCTGTTTTGGTTTTAGTTAGTAGTTATGAATAAACAAAATGCCTACTGAAATCCAAACATGGCTGTTATTATTTACTATAAAACATATTTTATGTCTGACAATGACGATCTAAAAGATGGAATTGAAAGTCATAATTTTCCTTCAGGTTAGTCCCTTTGTTCATCAGGGGTCGCCACAATGGAATTAATCCCACAGCAACACGGGGAGAACATGCAAACTCCACACAGAAGTGCCAACTGCAACCTTCTTGCTGTGAGGCGACAGTGCCAACCGCTGAGCCACCGTGTTGCTAGATTGAAAATCAGTTTGGATCAATTCAAATTATTATTATTTGTTGTAAAAGATTATTGTATCTATTCAATACTGATTTATATGAATTGAAATTATGGAAAAGGATTCTGAGAAAATGGCAGCAGGGAAATTGTCCAACACAAATTCACAAATACTCAGCTTAATGATTCAGTTGATTTTAGTTTAAATGAGATATTATATATTTTCTTTGGTGCTGTGAAAATGATATTGTAAGAGATAAGATCTTTATCTTTTTGTTAGACTTCATACCAAACCCAGCATACCTAAATATCAGGTGATGTAATAAAATATAAAACCTTTGATGGTCTTTGTGTTTTTGACATCTTAAGCCATAAAGAGTGCATTAAACTTTAAAGACTACAGGTTTCTGGTATCACATGAATGTTAATAATAAATATGGTAATAACGCTATCAATCATGGTAAGTCTTAAAGGAACAGTTTACCCCAAAAGTGTCTTTCAAATATCTTTCTTATGTTAAACACGAGACAGGATATTCTTAAGAATGTCTGAAAGAACAGCCATTTACATCAATAGCAGGAATAAAACACAACATGGAAAGCAATGGCTTTTGGTTTTTCTGTCATTCGTCTTCAGTATATCCTCCTATGTGTTCAACTAAAGAAACTCAAACAGTGGAACAAGTGGAGGATGAGTAAATGATGACAGAATTTTTATTTTTGGTGAACAATCTCTTTAACTGGCACTTTTAAATGCACTTAAATTTACATTGATTGCACTGTTATAATGGATAAATTATTAAAGTAAAGTATAAAAAACACAGAATCAGATGATTGCTTAGGGATTTTGACAGTGCCAGTCATAAATCTAGCCACTCTAAAATGCAGAAGTCATCCTGCTCCCT